TTTCCTAACTTGTCTAGTTTATGAGCTAGCCCTTAGATTTGTTACGCCCTTCTACCTGTTTATTTTATTATTGTTGTGTTTAAATTTCTTACCGCTAAACTTACGTGAACACTCGATGAGACGTTTTTTGGTCATAATATAATATATAATAAATAATAGATTTAATATTTTTAAATTCAAACTAATTCTAGAGTTGTTGCAAATATTAGCATCAGCATCCGCATCCGCGGATAATTTGCATGAATTAATATATCTACATCCGCAACAGCCTCCGCATTGATTGATGCTGATATTCATTGCGGGTATTTGCTTCGTGTCATTAATTTAAAAACCGTTCAAAAACAGACCGCAAGCCCAAAAAGCAGTTCAGCCATCGTTTTTATTTTTGAGAAAATGTCAGTATGATTAAGCTTGGCAAGCTGATTGATTTTATGGAGGTTTTACCAGTTTACCTAAAACCGGAACACAGTAATGCTGACATTACTGCTTGGCGGCAGAAATAGGTAAGGTGGCAGTACTTCACTAATTGTGAAAGTTTCCTTACTTAAACGTCACAAAATCATTGAAAAATTAATTTTCATGTAAAATCAATAAATATCTGTACATTTTCAAGATTTTTTAAAATAGATAAAATCAGCATCCACATCAGCATCTGCAGATGTTAAAGTAAAAAAATCAGCATATGCATCCACATTGGTTGATTTGTAAAAACCTGCATCAGTAACAACCCTGCTCTGCACAATACTCGTCAACAAAAGCAGGGAAGATATATAGACATAAAGAACAGGACGTCTGTTTAACGCTTCAGAAATGTGTTTTTAACTTTCTGATGTAACAGGAATCTCAGCTTATTCCGCTTTTCTTTTGAACAGAAGTTTTCTGCGTCAATTTTAAGTAAATACCCTGTGACCTACAAACCTATTTTCACTAGTGATGTTAGTAATCACATTGTTACTTTATATCACCGATGGATGCGAGCAAAAATGCGTTATACGCTAGCAGTAAAAATAAAAATAAAAAATAGTCTTTCTGTCTAAATCAGGCACTATTAGTAAAATAAGTGAAAAGGAAACACCCACTATACACGTATTTATATTTGTTAAAGAATATTTCAGAAAAACCCTTTTTAACTGACTTCAAAAAAGGAGGAGGTTCTCAATCAGGTTCTTAAGTTTTTTTTTTATGAATGTTACGTGATAACTCCAGCATTTATGAACCGAATTTGATGATCATTTTTTGTTGGAAAGAGGATACCTCAGAAGTGGTCCCATTTAAATTTGAAGAAAATATTCTACCTCTAAGAGTGGCAAAATAGGGGATGAATGAATTTTGAGATCGGTTTTTTAGTACTCTGTACTGAGATTATATTTTTTTATTCAAAATTATTTATGATTCCAAGTGACGGGACGAACAAATTATTCGACACATCAGTCCATAGCAGTTGTGTACCACTCTGAGCTGTAAGTAGCAAAGATTTGAAGGGCGATGCCACCACGCCGGTCACTCTGACACAGAAGTTGACATCTCCCATATACCACTAGTAATGTCACCAGCACCCTTACCCTACAAAACTGGAACACAGTAATGCTGACATTACTGCTTGGCGGCAGAAATAGGTAAGGTGGCAGTACTTCGCAGGGCGAACCCTTTCACAAGGAGTTCTACTGCTACTAATATTTTTTTTATAACAAACATTACAAAATCATTGAAAAAATCAATTTTCTTGTAGATTTAATAAAGATCTGTACATTTTAAAGATATTTTTAAATAAATAAAATAAGCATCCACGTCAGCATCTGCAGACGTTAAATTAAAAAATCAGCATCCGCATTCGCGGATGTGTAAAAACCTGCATCAGCCACATCCCTACTGTATAGAATACTCATCAACAAAAACAGGGACGAACTCTTTCACTCTTTCTACCACTACCAAAAATTGATATAACCTATCCTAAATTAGAATAAAATAGGGTAGGTACATAGCGCGTAATCTCGAACGAGTCCTGGTATTATGCAATTTAATCGATTTTACAATCTAATTTAGGACTGGGGATTGTTTAGGGTAAGATCTAATTACATATAAAATTTACGTTCACTTTAGTATATAATAACAAATTTATATTAAGTATCTCGTAATTCAGTGACTGCGATATAAAATAATAGCTGTAACGGCTCTTCACTAGTTTATTACAATCTTCCCGTGTTTAGTAAAGTTTTGTTGGAAACTATTATCTGGGGCAGACGGTATACACTGTCACAAACATGGCAATTTAGAGATCAAATTATAAAGTCGTTCTTAGTGTTTACATACTTGCTTATGTATCTATAATCTAAGTGAACAAATACATAATATTGTATTTTATTTTGCTGTAGGGAAATGTGATTTAGTTTGACAAGCGAAATGTTCTTATCGTATCCAATGGCATACACTGTAATGCTTACCATCGTGGTCCAAAGTACTTACAGTTCGCTGCCCTAAGTAAGATACTTAACCACCTAGCTGATTTTTTGGTTCTGAAGGCCTTCTTACGCATTCAACAGAAAAGTGTAAAGGATTTTCAGCTTTTCGGTTGAAATTTGTACTTATGTAATGTAATTAAAGATCAAATTATATATTATTAAAAAACTTTTTTAAAAGTCATTCACTTATGATGCAATAAGGAAGTCATACCCAAATGAATTTTACGGCTCACTGGTTTTAACCTTTAGGTTAAAGTTGTTTAACACCATTCTTAACACTGATCTACTTAGAACCAAATAGACGGTTGGAAGGTCAGGTATATTATGGCTTCCACTGTACTCTATTGTTACCCAGGGCCTGCCAGATGTACTGGAAAGGAATGTTAGGTACATCGTGCGGGGAGACTTCTTTCGTTCACCCCAAATAATTACAAAAATCAATCACTATCACATTACCAATCTATATCATCCTATAGGACGTAATTTACAAAGCACAATTTAGTGAAAACTTGAAAAGAAATTGTATTTTTACTCTGAATAGTATTTTGTTTTACTTGCATAATGTTTTTCCCAAACAGGTAAATAAGTATTTCAAGAAAACCTGTAAAATATTAAAAATCTTTACGCTTTGTTCTCTTAGCTTAACCGCCCCAAAATCCACATATTCATAATTTCTACTGTATACTACGGCCTCCGTACGATGATATTGAAATTTAATTATAGTTTTCTATGCGGTATTGCAATTGTTATGGACAGACGTGCTGCTTACCATCAAGTACACGACTTATTCGTCCCGTCACTTGGTATAATTTAAAAAAAATTCTACCTCCATCCACATTTCGTCTATAAATTTGTGCTGTCAGTCTACTAAAATTCATCTTTTCTACATGATGAAGCCATCAAATCCCCATTCCCTTTACAATTCTGATCACCAAATCATCTTTCATATCACAACGTTCTTTTACTATTTGATTATTCGACGTTCTATCTGACTAAAAACTCTAAAAATGCAAAGCTCTCATTCCTACAGAATTCACAGCCAATATTCACTATACCAGTATACTTTTCGTTCCTGTAAATAAGGCACGTAGTAAAGTAGATCGTCTATCAGGTACCACATAGAAACCGCATTGTAATTCCTTTCACCAAACGTACCGGAGTTTCCTTTAAACTTGGCACACAGCTTACAGCTACGCAGTAAATCAACTAAACTTTTCCCGTCTCATCTATAAACCTTGATTCTTCAAAGTTTGGAAGCATCACTTACTGTGAAGTTACAGATTAAAGAGTTGGATATTTCGATACGTCCGCTGAATTTTGATTATCTTCACCCAATTATACGTCCCAATGCCGGACACGAGTCTTCTCTAATGAGAGAGTTTAAGTCACAGTCATCGAGTATATAACCAGAAATAGAGACGAAATAAGGGCCATCTATCCCTGGCAACTCATCAGGCATTTTTTAGTTTGCGATTTAAAGCTCTGAGTGGCACTGCACTTTCCACTAGACACATGAGGATGGATTATAACGCATAGAAGTTAACATGTATAATATAAGTATAGTTTCACTGTGTTCGGCCAAACATCAGGCATGCAAACATATTGAAAGTATATTATAAACTTTAATCATATTATTATGGACTTGAACATACTAAACTGGACACACATGGATTTAATAAGTCAGTCTGTAATTTAAACGGGGTGATAGTTATAGAATAACTTATTGCTTCATATCCCTAAAAACTGTTGGAACAGTTCAAGAATAATAAAGATGATATACTATCAAAAGCAACCACGTATGTTAACTGTGTTATACGTATGCAAGCTGTCTCTAGTTGCTTGCATAATTAGTGGGTCTTTACTTTGTCTTTGTAAGACGAATATTTGTCATAGCGAGCCAAATAAAGGATTTGTAAGTAGCATAAGAACGTCGTTGTAAGAAGACTGGGTGAATGCACATTTTCACATCAAAATATAGTAATTTATTCCTCTCTACTTTCAAAAAACAAAATGAAAAGCCAGTCTTATATATTCTTTTTTATTTTTTATAATACTAAGTGACGGTATGTACAAGTGGTATGCCTGGGAGTAAGCGATGTGCCTGTCCCTAACAGTGCAGTGCCACTTAGAGCTTTTTGTCACAAAGATCTGAGGGGCACTGCCACTGCGCCCGACACTGAAACATTAGTTGACAAGTCCCACGTGCCTGTAATTTCAAGCACGCACTCTTACGGAACGCAGTAATGTTCACATTACTGCTTGGTGGCAGAAATAGGTAAGGTGGTAGTACTTCCCTGGAGAAACTCTTTCACAACTACTGCTACTAATAAATTTTCTCCTATACGGGCTTAACGAGTTTACTGGGACGTATAAATGAGCGGATGTTGTGCATCTTTATTCAGATTTAATAAAAAGTATATTTTATTGTATATTATAGTATTTTTAAAATTATTAAATATATTAAAGATTATGTTTGGTTTTGAAGAATAGTAATATAGTCTTTGAAACAAAAGACAGAAACGAAATATTACAGTTTATTAAAGGACATTACATTTGTAATATTGAAGACAATTTGTTATGCGGGGTGAAAATATATCTTCTTGTCTTGTCTAATCACCGGTCATCATCTCCATGAACTCTGGAACAAAAGGTCGCGTTGTAATTACTTGTGTCTATCATTTTCATTGGTTTATCTTGTCATTTATTATTTATATTCCGCGACTATATCTAGCAGATTCTAATGATGTGACTACATACTTATAACTATGATATGATTTCTCACTTCCTCAATTTCATTTCATTACTTGATTTTTTTAATTGAGGCCTTACTGTGAGTGACAAGTTGCTAATTAGATAACCTGATAGTTTTGCTATGTTCTTCTTTTTCATAGTTTAAGGTTACGGCCTCTCTTATGATAAAACATGAAGAAGAAGCAGATACCAAGATTGTCAGGTTATCTAATTAGCAACATGTCACTCAAGTAAAGTCTCGTTTTTTTTTTAATATTATGTAGGCAGCAAACAAGGAAACGGCCCGCCATCAGGAAAGCGGTCATCGTCACCTATAAACACCTGCAAAACCAGGGCGTCACAAGCGCGTTGCCAACCCTTTAGGACCCTTCTCAAACCCCTTTTGAAGGACTTCGTGTATTCCTGCGGGAAAACCCCGAGAGTAGGCGGATGGACTCCCAGCCGGTGGCGAGCGGTGCGGTGATAAAAAGTTGCTATTGGCATCAACATAAAAAAAAACCAAGTAATAGAATTTATTTATATTTTTATTTATTTATTTTTACTTTAATTATAACGGACATACCAATTACAATAATTAAAGAATGTATTTGCGACAGTGAAAAACCATATACTAGTTATAAGTCTGTAGTCACATCATTATAATCTTCTAGCTGTGGTCGCGGCTTGATGGAATAGACGGATAAGAAAAAAGAAATAACATTGGTTTCATTCTTTAATGGAGTGAGTAATGAATTTTCATTGCCCTGTCATCTTTTCCATCGATTCGTTGCCATCTTAAGGTTACGTAATGGAGTGTTATGATAGTGATGTACCAATACTAATTTAACTAATTGGGTACACTACAAACAAAAAAGAGCCAAAATTCATTCTATGAAAGTTACGTCGGTAACTCCAGTCCAGGTATTTAAACTTTTATGTTACCTCTGTTCATGTTAACCTCTTGTGACAATTAACCCAGATATGCCTACCGTCCCATATTTAGAACATCAATTTTAAAAAAATGTTTCATTCTACCCTCATTATATTTATGTCAAATGCAACTACGTTCTCAAAGGTTAGGAGCAACACAACTAAATTACATCGCGATTGCTTATTTCTACAAATAATTAATATTCTTTAATTGTTTTTAAACTCGTCGAAATTGTGAATTATAAAACATGTCAAGTAATAGGTGAGTACTTAGATCAAATAAAATGCTTAGTGTTTTTTACAACTATAGTTTTTGTTCGTGGATTGCTTGGTTATTATAAATATTCCATAATAACTTAGTTTTAATAACTTATGCATATATTTTTTGTGGTGAATATGTTAGTGTACTATATGTAGGACAGTAGGCTTATACATGGTAATTTATTGATTTGTAGACCCTTGGCGGCTCACGAAATATTAAGTATTCTGGAGGAGGGTGACAGCGAAGATGATCATCGTGAACGTTTGTTAACCATTCTACCGCCACCAGTGAATGTCAACTGTCCCACTGATGAAGATTCAGGGGATGAAGACCAGGTTTCTGTAAACAATTTGCCAAGAAATATTTTGTTACAACCTGCTTTGTTAACTGTTCGTGGCGAAGTTTCCGATTCGGACGATGAACCGGTGGAACCTCCAGTAAAACGGAAGAAAATCAGATATTCTTGGAAGAAGCAAGATCTGGTCAAACCTCAAATAGAGTGGCCTTGTATCCAAGGAGCTGCCCAAGAAAAGAGTCCATTGGAGTGGTTTGAATGTTTTTTCGATGATAGAGTGATCACGTTATTGGTTACTGAAACTAATAAATATGCTGTAAAAAAAAATCAACTAGGTGATATTACTGCTGGAGAAATAAAATGCTTTATTGGAATTTTGTTAGTGAGTGGCTATTCATGGCATCCACGAAGAAGAATGTTTTGGGAAAATTCTCCTGATAGTAAAAATGAATTGGTTTGTTCGGCAATGTCCAGGGACCGGTTTGAGTTTATTTTCCGCCACCTCCATGTAAACGATGACTTGAATCCAGATGATAAGTACACTAAAATAAGACCTATTCTTTGTCTGTTAAATGAGAGGTTCTTAGCTTTTGCACCTGTGGAAGAACATTACAGCGTTGATGAAGCTATGATCCCATATTATGGTAGGCATGGATGCAAACAACACATCAAAGGTAAGCCTATTCGATATGGATATAAGTCCTGGGTAGGAGCTACCCGGCTAGGATATGTCTTGTGGATGGAGCCATATCAAGGAGCAACTACATTGTGTAACCCCATTTATAAAGATTTAGGTCTTGGAGCCAGTGTAGTGTTAACCTTCTGTGATGTACTTACTTCCCGTGGTTACAATCTTCCATATCATATCGTTATTGACAATTTTTTCACTGGAACACCACTGCTGGAAGAAATGACAAAAAGAAGATTTCGTTGTACTGGAACAATCCGGGAAAACAGGACAGCCAGTTGCCCTCTTATTGCATCTAAGCAATTGAAGAAAAAACAAAGAGGGTCTATAGATTACAGAATTACAGACGACAATAACTTCATCATCGCTAAGTGGCATGACAATAATATATTCAGCATTGCATCCAATTCGGTTGGGTTGAATCCTATGCAGCCTGCAAAGAGATTTTCCCAAAGTGAAAAAAGGAATATAATCATTGAGGAGCCGCGACTTGTGTCTATTTATAACAAGTATATGGGTGGGGTGGATCGCTCAGATGAAAATATTTCTCACTACAGAGTAGGCATCAGGGGCAAGAAATGGTATACGCCACTACTGACTCACATGATCGACTTGGCAAAACATAACGCTTGGCGATTATATAAAGACAATAACGGCAATTTAGACCACCTAGGCTTTCGTCGTCGAGTTGCAACTGCTTTGATTGAAATCAATCGAGAAAAATCAAAAAGAGGACCCAGTAGACCGTCTGTGAATGAGCATGTTGATTCTCGAACGGAAAATAAAGGGCATCATGTTATCCCTCAAAGCAAACAAACTCGATGCCGCAAATGTCACAAAAAATGTTTGACTCGCTGCAAGAAATGTGATGTTGGTGTTTGTGTAAAATGTTTTGATGATTATCATACTAAATAATTGATAAATAAGCTAACTACCCCAACTTTTTCTATACTTTTTTACTTTAAAATATAATCAAAATAAACCTACCTAATTATAATTATGACGATTTCCGTACTAAATTACCTTACCTACCTTACGTTCTACCTGTACGCCTACTGTCCCATATATAGGACAGCATTTTCCGGGAAAACGGGAGAGATTTTTTTTTTTTTACTATTTTTACTATGTACAATAAACTATTTTAATTCATATATTTAACAAAAAATAATCACTTTTAAAATAATATAGTTTCAGGTATATCTGGGTTAAAAATACTTGCCGTCAAAGTCCACGGTTCCAGAGTCATCAGTGTCAATCTCGGCAATCATCTCGTTGAGTTGATCAGGTGTGAGCTGATCATCCAGCGCTGCCAATATCTCGCGTAGACTCGATGTAGGGATGTAGCCGTTGCCTGGAAATATTCATTTTTGTCTGTACTAATATAAAAAAGACATAGCAGTTCTCTTGCATTGGTCAAACACGTCTATCGCATGTAAAACGAGCCATGGGTAAAGACCACCTCGGAGTGGATCCCACCCGACGCAAACCGGAGGCGTAGAAGTTCCAGAAGGAGATGGAGTGACGAGCTAGATGCCAAAATGTCATATGAGCATATGACATTTTGGCATGTAGTGGCTTTAAATTGTGATGAGTGTAGGAAGGGAAAGGAGATCTTTTCCCTGCAGTGGGATAGTTATGACTGAAAAGTGAAATGCAGAGACCAGACTTACAGTACCGGCATGGTATGATGGCCGTTTTGACATCTGTCCGGTCATCAAGTTTCGTATTAATTCATAACTACGTTTAAGGAGCTCATTGATGTACGTGGAATGTATAATTTTACAACACAACTCGGCATTTGTTTTTCGAAATTCGAAATTTTTGAAAATGAAATCTAATACGATCGTCACTTATGGGATCGCTGGCCAACACAACTTCTACCTCCGGCACACCCGCGTCAAAGCTCAATGCAAAATAAAGTAGTTTCGAATTGACGATATACTAGTTATAAATACTATACACCTTGCAATACTAGTTATAAATCTAAAAACTTAAAGATGCGACTCGCATTTGATTATATTTTTTTCGATAATGAATTGAGATTTGACCTCACTATTGTAATCTGGCAATACGGCCATCATAGCGTGCCGGTACTATAGTGTTAGATTAAGTTATCTACAACAGAGAGCCGAACTAATCAGGCGGAAGTACGTGTACTTGTAGTTCAAGTTCGTTACAAATTGCCGAATTTATCAGCAGCAAATTAATTACTCATATTAATTACTTTATGAGTAATTGGAATGTGTACCTTACGCAAGTGCGCAAATCCAGCCTTGTATAGAGTATTGCAGCCACCTGTGAGATGGCTCAGGGAAATAACAATTAAAAACTTTACACTTGGTTGAATTCAGAGCCAGGAGACTTAGGGTCGTATTCTAGAACTCTACTCAACACTCAAGTCAGGACTTGAGTATTGCAGTGAGCACTGAAAATCATACTCAAGTCCTTGCCATTAGGGTCGTATTTCCAGTGCTTGAAATCATACTCAAGTCTGCTCAAATCCTGACTTGAGCATTGAGTAGAATCCTGGAATACGACCCTCAGTCTCAGCTTCATAGTTTAACCTGTCGACGCAAAGTTGCCTGTTTCTTGGTTTTCTACACATTATGCTTCGGTGAGTGTGCCCATGAGCTCTACCGTTTCATTACTCCTTCCTCTTTTTAGAAAGAAAGAAGAAAGAAAATATATTTATTTGGTCCACATTACATTGACAATAACTACTTTACAACTACAAAAATAAGGAACCAAAAAGGTCACCACTCAGCATGTGCCAGTTTGCTCACGGAGAAACAGACCGGAGGAACTTTTTACTATCGGAGAATGAGAGAAAGGAAACGTTTGTTAGTTTATTTGATGATCAAGTAGTAAAATAATTTATATTGTCACCTTTATGTGCATTTACAAAAAAAAACATTTGCTATTTATAATTTACGTTTTGACCTAAATTTCACGGTAGCTTACCGCTTACCTTGTACAGAATTCATAACAAATAAAAAAGGTAGGAAACTTGACACGATACCCTGTAAAATGTAGGAAATATTTTATGTGCGACCTTTGAAAGTTACTCTAAAATATGTGTTCAGAAAGTCGTTTTGGCTTTAACTTTTTGGAACTTAATCCAGTTTTTACAGGCAATTGCTGAGTTTGTACAATTTTCGGATTCAACGTGAATTTTGCCTCTCATGCAATGTTGCGTGAAATTCTAGTGTTGAAATAGAATGAACAACTTCGATCGTAATTAGTAAACAAAACAAGTATACAGGTGATTTTTTTTAGTCATCATCCAAATATTTTCTAAGAATACAAAGATTCCATTTAAAAAAATGGTATGTTAGGCGGTATAGGAAATTAAACTCCTTTTTCCGGGTTCAATATCGCGTATATTTGTTTATTTAGACAAATCTGACCGTTACCTAACGTTGGTTAATTTAAAAAAAAACAAATATACTCGAATTTGAAATTTATTTCCTATACTTACAATATAACTCTGTAACAATAGTTACACATTACTGGTAGAGTTTTTGGGTTTTGCTTTTGCTTTTTTTTCCTAAGTTTTGGATTCTACATTACGAATGAGAAGCTACATCTAATCAGTTTGTCTATGTCCAGTATAATTGGCTTACCTATGAAATAAAGAAAATGTTATTCTCACTTAATTACCGCAATAACTCACCACATGGACGTTAATAGGTCACTACAAGTCCCAGACCTCTTGGGATATTGGCAACAGCAGTAAAGCTGCAATCTAGTACACATGGCGCCAATCGGCAGTTTTTTTATGTATACTACAAGTTTTATTCCATAACGAAAAATAGGCAATGGACTTTGGTACTCCTAATCTTTATCAACCTAAATACGTTTCAATGCTCGGCACGGGTTCTTTTACAATGTTCGATGTCCTGTTTAAGCCCAAAAAGATTATTAATTAATTTCATTCGTAGAAACTTCAATTCTCTCACCTAAAAAGCTTTATTTTTACTTATAACACCAAGGGTGAGATGACTTTCTGAGAATTTTATTACGTTTCTAAATAAAAAGTAAAGTCACCTCTTACGGCACGGTCGCGTCATCATCGCCGTCTTCGTTGTCTTCGTCGTGGTTTTCATCCAATTTTCGAAAACCAATAACAGCATTAATCTCTTGGCACTTATCCAAATGTACATACAACGAACCATTAATGCGTTTATAGCAAACAATTATTGGAAAACTCATTGTTTTCTCGCACATAAATTCGAGTGAATACGCGAAATATATTCAAGTGCGATAAAACCAACTCTGCGAAGCCATTATCTGAGGCGTGCATGATGATCCAATGTGAATGTGTGATTTAATTTATATCCCCCTTTCTCTTTGCAAATTTTAATGCAACAATTTTTTTATGATATCAAGTGATGTGACGAGCAAATCGTGTGCCTGGTGATAAGTAATACGCCTGTCCATAAAAATGTAACAGTTAAAGTCGCACTCAGACATAACTTGATAAGGCACATATGCCTTTAACTTTACCAGTACCTTCACCTTTCATAATCAAAACGCAATAAGTGAGCATTACCGCTTGGCGGCAGAAATAGACTCATCTATTCAGAAGCAGAACTTCTCTAGACGAACTCTTCCACAAGGAGCTCTACTGCTGTAAAATATTGTGCAGTAAATATGAAGTATTATTTTTTTAGGCTTTAATAGTGTCTCAATACTGGGCAAAGGACTTTCAACTCTCTATATACGCAGCAATTGATCAATTATTCGATCAATTATTGTACTTTGTTGCTTTACCACTACAAAGATATTGTTTAGTTTCATATTTACCCTTTGTTATTGTCTCTTATTTTATGTTAAAAAGAAATTGTTACTTAATACAAATATTATGCCATATATATTTTATCTTTTGGTACATACTTAATCGTTAATTGTAATATAAATTCATTATTTTCTGTACAAGTAGACCACAATAAACACAAGCTCTTCATTAATAATATCAAGTGTTTGTTTTTGTTTATACTACCTCTATACTATACGTTGTTAATAAAGCAAGCGAAAAGATACCACCGACCTCGGTATCTCGATGTCCCTTTCAATAACTTTTATGTTATTACATGAATGCTAAGCATTGTTTATTAAATATGATTGCTTGCTTGCTTAGTCTGACTACTTTACTACGTCACAGTAATAAATAAAAATTAAAAAAGTGAGCAATTTCTCACTCATGGGAGCCGGTTCCACGTCTGTCGCCGTAATTTTAAGAAAAGAACAAAATTAAACACTCTTGGAAATCGCAATATTTCGAGGATAAACTCTAATAACTTACACGTCGAATACATACCGTAACTTTCCAATTTAATATAAACAAAGATGTTTTCTTGGGAATACAAAATGTGTTTCAATTTTTCTTATCATTAATGTCAATTCAACTAAAAACCTCTTAATGACAAAAGTTCGATGATGATCAATTATTCCAGCACGCGTCTAGATCATTCCGCCTTTTCTGCTCTGGTTTGTCGCGCTGCCGATGGCCATCTTGAGTGGTAATACATACCCTCCCTAGGTGCATAGGACAGATATGACTAACCCATTTTTCAGATTAATTTACTATTAGGCATTTGAGACTTGTCAACTTATGTTTCAGGGTACCTATTACACATAAACCCAGTGGCAGTTTCATTTCTTATATCGAATACTTAATAAAAATTGCCACGGAAATTAGGCGGAGAATACCAACCCGAAAAAATGGTCCATGTAGGCAAGTTAGTTTAAATTTCAACGTTCGTTCGGCTAAATGTATGCTAAAAAAGTTCCTTTTATAAATAAATTTTGTTTAGATTTGAAATAAAACAGAGTTCCCTAAAAGTCTCAATTTACAATCGTTTGATATAAACAGAACAAAGCTCAATTCTTAAAATAGCAGTTTCAACAAAATTGTTACAAGCTTATTGAAGATTTTCTAAAATCTTCTATTACAGCTATCTCTTGGACGATGTCGGAGCTTGGATTTAAACCTCGTTAGCGACATAACTTGGCATGAGACTTCTATAAAAAAAACCTTATGAAACCTTTATACGCACCTTCTATTAAAGACGATTATCCACTAGAAAGAAAAGTTCTTCTAAATAATTATCACAGTCATTTCATACATTTCTCCCAAACAAAAAAGTCCTTAAAAACCAATTACTCAGGTATCATAGCCTTCAAACTGTTGGTAATATGAAACCTATTATTAATATATATATATATATATATATATATATATATATATTCAGCCGGTACCTGGCCGAGTGAAGAAAAACTTTCATAGATGGCGCTACGTCGAAAAGGCATTAAAAAACAAGAACAAAGATCTGCAAGAAGCACATACAT